CCCTCCTCTCCTGACTTAGTCCTAGTCTCACTTACCACCTGTCATGTTTTGTATGTCACTTCCCCCACCAAGGACGTGGGCGCCCCTATGTCATTCATCTCTGGCTATGTAACGAGGACCCGTAGCGGATCTGATGCCGCGTTCATAGTTCGCGACTCTGGAGGTTAGGATAGTAGCGACAATGAATAGGATGACACGATTGACAGGGAGATTAAGATCGTAGTGGATAAGGACAGCATTACAGTGCGTTGACAAGATTAAAGCCACGAGTCAGGATTAGGCAACCAGCAGAAGTTCTTCCCAGGGTGCGATAGTGGGCTCCCAAGCACTGAGGGCGCGACACTATCGCGACCCAAAAGTGCGCGGCAATGGCGCTAAGGCCTTGCCCGCCGCGCTGCCAGCGTAATCCACCACGGCATACGTGGTCTCTGCGTCTCTCGCGTATGACGTACTATCTCGCGTTCTCCCTCTCCTCGCAGCGCTGTGTCTCTCCGTCGTACTACGGCCGGCCTCCTAAGGGAAATTTAGTGTTTTCTATGGTGCTTTTTGCTTTTTCTCCTCACTAATGTTCCTCATTGCACCCCTTGCCTAATGTTTGAACAAAATAACGCATCAATTCAATCCCGACTCGTGCCTTTAACACATTGACGACCGCGCGCGTTTTGGCTTTTTTGGCCGTGTGGGACCGGGCCGATTTTGCGAGTGCGACCGCCGCACCTCGGATCCGTGAATTTTTATTGATAACTTTTTAAAGCACCAGTGGTACAAAAACATCTCAGTAACAGTCAATGCGTAGAAGGTAATAGAGTATATAGTGACGAAGTTCCGATTAAAGAACATGTAATGGTAATGAAAAAGGAAATTTTAGTCATTTTATCTGTAGTGGATGCCAAAAGCTCTTTTGATGTGGTTGTGCCAAGTGAAACATATACTCGATATCGGTGAGTTGGGGTGGGCGTGTCACCGGAAGTGACGTGCACTTGATAGAAGCTATGTGGATAAGCTGCTTCCAACATACATCGCTGGATATCAGCAAAGCATGCTGGCAACAGCTTATCCACGCACTTCTATCAAGTGCACGTCACTTCCGGTGACACACCCACCCCAACTTTCGGATATCGACTGTATATTTTATTCCGCATTTACAGTCGATATCTCGAAGTCTGATTGGGCGTGTCACCGGAAATGACGTGGCAGCCACCGCACTTGATAGATGTTGTGTGGATAAAATACTCCGCCAGATATCAGCAAAGCGTGTTGGAAGCAGCTTATCCGCGCAACTTCTATCAAGTGCGGTGGCTGCCACGTCATTTCCGGTGAAATCATCATGTGTTGGATGCAACTAGCGGTGGAGGATTTGCACGTTCCATTCCGGTGACAGGGCATCATGACTTCGAGAGTATATTGTCGGTACTGTACTGTTTCACTACACCTTTTTCTACTGGCATGTCTATGCAGAATGGCGTACAGTGAGAACGAGGAATGACCAGCTGCGTAACTTCGCTGCGGCTTAAAAACTTCTGCTAAAGTGGGCATATTTGGTCCACCGTTGAGCCCGATAATTGACTTTACAATAATGTTACGCTGCAATCCATATGTAGAAGACAGACAAACAAACTGGGGAAAAGCATGAGCTAGAAAAAGGAATGAGAAGGGTGAGATGCGGTAATTTCGAACCCCAATGGTCGACGGCCCTGTTGGCATCTGTGTTGAGTAACGGCAATCGCGCCTCACTATCGTCAATGTATGATTTAGGTACGTGATTTCGAGGGCGAATTTTGTACGCGCGAGGCAGTAGTATAGATTACGATGGGCCGTATGCTATGCTTCCCGAAGCTAGGCGATCCAAAGTTTCCTTCAAATTTGATTGTTTTGAACGGTATGGTTTCTAATGTTTAGTGCATGTTTACTTTTAGCACATACAACATAAATGAGGCCTTCATCATGGGCAGCTCAGGTTGGAATTAATAAAGAAAATTCAAAGCGATTTTCGGCTTCTCCTTTCTAACTTCTATGGAGGTATCTTCGCCCGATGTTACAACTAAAGGATAGTGTAGAGTGGGCTATTAAGATAGTAGACTAGAGCAGTACGCCGACAATGCAAGATACGTATCAATTAAAGGAATCTTGCGCGGAAAAATCATGATTCTATTTCAGCCATAAATCACTGGCTTGAGACTCATTATCCACGATAATAGTGAAAAGAACTGAAGTATTGCTTTCGTTTTGATTAGAAATTCGAAACTCGAAAAGGCTGCTACGCGTTCGAATTGCCCACGGACGTCTTTCACGAATGCTGGCGACGGGGATGCTCAAACTTGGTTCTTGGAGTGCATTCACTAGAAGCTCTTTCTGGCCTTCTGCTTCGTTGCATTCACATCTTACACTTCTACTCCATCCTATTCCATCGATCGATTTGTCTCCACTCTCCGAAATCGCGCGCTTTAACCCGATTCTCTCATTGCGTCGCCTGGTACGTAGCCGGCCAAACGCCGTCTTCTTTCCATGCCTCGCCTGGCTCTGCCTCCTGGTCCTTCGATGGTCCATAACGTGTAGTTTTTGTACGTTTGTTTCTCTTCAGAAACCGAATCTTCATGCGTGGAACTTTGTGGTGCATAATTTTCATTTGTGAACACATGAATGACATTTCAATCGTTAGGTAAGATGGTGCAAAGATTAATTTTCGCGCCGGGGGGTCTCTTTAACTGCCGTGAAGACGCATGGAATCTAACTGCTCTGCACGCGAGTTCCAAATCAATACGCATCTATATGCCAGGCTACTGTCACTTATCCTTATCGTGCCTACTTATCCTAATATCCAGTTGGAAACAATGAACTGGCCAATCGTAGAAACACGGGCAGAAAAAGCATAAGAGGGTCATGCTATTAGGAGGGGCGGTCATGATGCAGTGGTCTCGAGCGAACTGGATTGTAAAAATTCAAATTTCTTTTTACGAATGTCACGTAACTGCAACTTTTTACCCTCCAACCCCGTAGACTCGTCCTTTACTCGAACCTGGCATCGGAGCTTACCTCAATGCCTTCTGAAAGTCTGGATCTGCGAATTGTTGCGGCACCCTCCCTTAACGTGAACCTAGAGTCACTAAGAAAAAAATGAAGAAATAGAAAAATGAAATTTAAAGGGAACAGGTCCAATATCGAGGCGAGTGTGAAACCACTTTCAATATTAAAGGAGCGGGTGAAGGCGCATGGCAAGAGAGTATTGATCGATACGAATTTCGGAATCTTTCCTTGCTGGGAGGCGCGGGGGTCAGGACGTGTTCCAAATCGCCACACGTGTTAACCTGTTCAGACTGTTGCATGAACCTGTGCACAGGAAGGTGGAGGAACAGGAACGTTTCGTCTAGTGTTACATACAAAGAAAGAGCGCGGCCGATTCCCATTATGGCCAAAATTCAAGCCGAAAGAGGCTCTTTTGTGGCTCAATCCGCTTTTCCGTCTGCTGCAAGCACTGCGTTTCTGTTGTTATTTTTTCTGCTAGCAGACACTAACAAATTAGGCATGGGAAATCAATGTGAACGGCGTTTGGCCGCGTACCCCTGCATAGCATTTGTGCGGGAAGGGAAGGGGAGGATGGGCAGCCGGCCACCTGCTACAATGCTCTCTCAGCGACATAAACGATAGCCACCAGTGAACCTAGGTTCATATGCGGCATCGGGTGAATCGTTAGCCACTACTAGGGGTTTTATTGTGGAGGGTAAGGATGAGTTTTCCAAGCTTCCTCGCTAAGAGGATGCAGGCGACAGAGCAGCCTTGGCAAGGAAATATGTTGGCCTCTGCCAGAGCAGGGTCGAGGCCAGTGAAGAATCTGTGGACAAGGGTACTCGGGTGACGGCTCGCATAAGGTACTAGGGGAGAAGTGAACGCAGGGTTGTTAGAGTCTGGATCAGCAATGGAATCGCCGAGAACGTAAAAGCGGGTTAGAAAGGGAATGCGGAAACAAACTACACGCGGGGGGGGATGATCAAGTGCACGGGCGCGTTTCTCAGCGAGTTTGACCACGTCGTGTTTTTCCGTTCCCTGCAATTGAGATGTGAGTTCGAGGGAAAATTTTCTGAGAGGGATTCCTTTTGCGGATTTATGAGATCACTTGTTGAACATACAAGATCAAAAATTTCACCGTTTAGGGTTTTTGCTAGAAAATGTAGAAGGTACCCTCTATTTCGGAAAACGAGAAGAGCATCGAGTGCAGACCACACACCACAAGTGACGACGGCCAAAAAAAGTGCTTCTTTTTCTTTTTCTTGGCCGTCGTCACTTGTGGTGTGTGGTCTGCACTCGACGCTCTTCTCGTTAACCGAAATAGATCGCAACTTTTTGACGCGTTGCCACACTTTCATGGGCACAGATTCTTTCCCACATAGTTTTGAGCGGAAATGAAAAAATTAAAATGCACCTTTTCTGATTAGCAAACTTTTTCATGGTAGGGTTTCAGATCAAGAGGATACCCTTATCACTAGAGAGCTAAGGTCGAAGATCGTATTCCGTCCTAATTAGGGGATACCTTCATGCAACACAGCTTCTTCCGAAAATCTCTTGATGTCCCTCAAACTCGCATTTCCTTTGCTCGGAAGAACAGTTAAAGCGCACGACATTGATCGAACTTGTTCGGGAACGCGCTGCGCGCCCAAACTTCGGCTGTGGAGGCTATCATCCTCTTCCGAACAAACCAGCGATGAATGGTTCATTGCTTATCCCCGCACTACGACCCCTTTCTTCGCACCGGAGCAGATACGATCCCCTCGTCGAGGATTCCTCGACGCACGGTTGGCCGTGATCTTTCCAAAATTTCATTTCGCAATAGCGCAAGAAGGCTGAAACCCATACTGTCCACAGAGAACTTCTCTACATGTCAACGAGCCTCCTCTCGTGTGGCATAGAGGGTAATGATGACAATAGACTGATTAAACAGGAGTGCGGGTAAGGTAGTGTTCATAGTCGCGGTCGTATATGCGATTAGGCGATTAAGCGACTAATCTGTAAGGAAAAGGATAAGTATTGATTAGGCGATGAGGCGATATTGATGTAGGAGATTAAGCGAGGAAGACGGCATGTGTGTCGATTGGTTTACTCCTCACACGGAGCGTTCGCCTAATCACATTCATTCCCAAATCCGCCATAATTTTGGATTAATTGCTTTTACTAAAGATCGCGGACCGCAATGAACACTACCTAATGTGGCTTACCTAATGTTTTTGGAACTGCTTGCTGTATCTCATTTTGAAGAACTGATGCGCACTGTTTGGTGAAGGGGAGCGTTTCTCATTGTTGTCAGTTCTGCATGACAGGTTGGTCGACACTTTTCACAGCAATAGTTCTTGTCCTTCAAAGAAATGAGTATAGGCGTACCCATCGTCGTCGAGCAGTTAGTTTCAATCCAATGGCAAAATGTGAAGGTAACGACGAAAAATGGTCGACAGATATTGCAAGATGTCAGCGGAATTGCTGTTCCCAGAGAAATGAATTGCCCTCATGGGTGCAAGGTATGTGATGGGGTTCTGTATCATACTGCTGCTGTTATTAGCATTGACGATGCCCTCTTTTAGTGGAACTGGCAAGACTACTCTACTAAACGCGCTTCTTGAACGGAACCTTGGCGGACTTACCGTTGAAGGCAAAGTGCTGGTGAATGGACAAAATATTGGCAGAGGAGTCACGAGTGTGTCGGCTTATGTGCAGCAAGAGGATCTGTTCGTGGGCACCCTAACGGTAAAAAGCGGTGTTTAACAATTTTCAATGAACCACACACATCCCTAATTGAGAAGAGTGCATATCTGCAATGGTCACAGATGTAATTTGAGCCTTTACAAGAATAACTCGCACCATGACGGCAATTTTATTGAGCCTTACAATTCTAAGTTCGGACAATCGCGACTAGGGGGGGTGGGTGTGACCGGGTTCTTGCTGTGTGAGAGATAGATGAGAGATAGATCGCGCTTGAGGTTAGTCCATAAGGGTAGAGGTGGTCAGTGGAGCAGAGATGAAGAAGAAAGCATTTGAAACGACCCGAAACCCGAGAGGGACCCCTTCCTTGTCCGCTGATTGTGATGGTGAGGGTGGTGGTCGGAGATGGGAAACGGATCGCCGATCCGCGAGCGGCAGCTCATAAGGCTGATCAGCGATGTTAATGAATCTGGCTCTTGACTCGCAAAATTACTGTGAGGAGTCGCCTCATCTTTGAATTCCGCACACTGCAGGCGGGTTAACGGGGCCTGTCGTGCGATTGGGACGTGGTCGGCGAAAAACTGTACGGGAAGTGGGGCGACGTTGGAGCATTTGCCTTTGCCGTGGTGGGTATGGTGAGGGGGCACTTGTGGGTAACTGCCCTCATGTGTGGTGGTGGGGTGGGGGATAAACATATTGGGATAAATTTCAGAGGGAGTCTAAACTTTTTTTGCCGAGTGCGACGGTTGACCTTGTTGGCAATTCTGTGGTCTGAGAGACCTGATGCTAAGATCGTTGGAAGGCTAAATGAGGGCAGTCGAGCCTTCAGTTACCCCTCCCAACAAGTCAGCATTACGTCAGGCCATATTCTTATCTTTCGCGTGAATTACCAACAGGGACAACCGCGCGTTCACTAGTTTTGAAGAGCCTGAACTCCATCTTGAGCTTATCTCCACACGGCCCCCGGTGAGGGGCGGGTGCTTTATGCCCACGACGAGAGGTCAATTAGTACGTCTGGCCATTTGAAGTGAGATGTGTACCTACTTCTGGGCCTCTAGATGCCGAATTCAAATCTGCTTTCGTTATCTGCGGAACTATTTCCTAAAAAAATCATGAAGCATGGAACTGCAGCGATAGTGACCCTAAGTCACAGGCAAGAGGTCGCGCGATCACCTCCAGTGCAGATTCACACTTGCCTCTTCTCAGAAATTCAATTAGAGAGACCTAAAATTCATATTTGAGTCAATCTAACGACCTTTTGCCTGCGACTTAGGGTCATTCCCTCTGCGCTTTCCTGCTTCATAACGTCTTTCAGGAGATCCTTCCGCTGAATGGAGCAGATTTGAACTCGGCGCCTCGTTTAAAATGGCCAGACTGACTAATTGGTCTTTCCTTGTCAGGAAAGAATCCAATGACCTGTATTCATTTTGGATGAGTACCACAATCTAAAAACTTGGTTGACGCTTGGTTATGGCTATGGATTACTACTTCAGCCTTTTCTTTGCTTCTGAACTGCACAACCTATTCAGGTGCGGGAACATCTAATGATCCAAGCCAAAATGAAACTACCATCTTCATTCACAACGGCAATGCGCATTGCAAGAGTTGAAGAGGTGACTCGGAAAATTCTTCATCCTGCCTGAAAACCGTGGAAACTCACTCGCTGAGGAACAGCAGCAGAAATAGTCGGACAGCGTTGAGAATTCAAAGTATTAGGTATTTTAGGTCATGAAAGATATGCTACTTGAAGGGACACAGTCTTCTCGTATCGGTGTGCCAGGTATCGTTAAGGGGATATCAGGTAAATGCTGGCCTTTGTGACAATATTGGATTTTGTTCGTTATTTTTTAAGGGGCGATGAGCGGCTCGATTTGCGTCGGGAGAACTGCTCAGCATTCCAATCTGTTTGTGATGAACCACAGTGTTTGGACTCGTCATGGCGGCTTGGTTGTTACAGTCGTGTTCCTTCGATACCCTCGCTCTCTTTGGCCATTTTACTCTTACCAGGAGAGGTCATTAGGTCAACCCGCCCAACTAAACTGAGGTCTACAATTTCACGCGCACTGGGACGGTGAGCTCAGTCGCTCTAAAGGCACGATGGCGTCTCTGGCGTGTCTTATTCCTCAGAGCAATTCTTTCCGTGGATAGAGAAGCTGGATCCTAGGCACAGGAGTCGTGGCACTGTGGCGAAGTGAATGCGCAACAGGGGCGCCGATTGTGTATGCAACTGCGACGCTGTCAGTGTGTTGATCATTTCCAGATTGTGTTGCAGCACGTCTGTACAAGTGGGGCCCTCGAATTTCCCAGCTCGCATCACGTGTTGATCGGTTATGCGAAGATTATGAAAGAATATTTAGTGTTGTGGCTTGCAGGTTGAGAAAGCCTTTTCAGCGTTTTTCGACTGCTCTTTTTCTCGTGAGAATGTGGTTGTAAAAGGCCTCAATGCCTCTCATCATGGAGTCAGCACGCTCTTTATCCCTCAGCATCTTGTGCTCATTGCCGTTTGCGTGAGCTTTGGTCGAGTTCAGTACCAATGGATTAGATGTTTTCCATGAATCAAGTAAAAGATGGTGAGGCGCTATGGTCCGCATTCTCGAAGTTGGTCATACGAATACATATCAATGTTTCGTATATTCAGTCAGATGGTGATGAACACAATGTTTCGTTGTACTGTTGCACCGCTCCATTTAGTCGATGTTCCAAGATCCCATGCGATCTGGAAGTCCACACAGAACCCATCTTCACACGAATCATACGTCCCATTACAGAATTGAGTGGTTCGAAATGCTTGGTAGGAAAGGAGAATGGTCCAAAGTAGAAACTTATCTGCGATTGGTTCAAGATTGATCACGCCAGTTTACTATAATTGCAAGCGCTCAGGAAGGGAAATATGGCTCTGGCACCTGACATCCTTTTCGTTTGTCTTCATACTTTCTTTACCCCAGCGCGTCCATCTGTTTGAAACAAAAAGAGTGAAGGGAGAAGAAATGCCACAAGATCGATAGAGAACGGAAACGCTGCCCATTAGAGTTGAAAACTTTGCGCACAGGGAATGGCCGAAACAGTGCACCCGTTCCCTACAATAACCTTCTCCAAGTTCCAATGATGGTGATCGGCGGTGCCAATATTGTTCCTGAATCTAGCCTAAAGGCAGCGATTACGATAGTTTCAAGAAGGTTTAGAGGAGACGTGGTGGTGCTCAATGGTACGCCAGTGGCGAAAAAAGCGGAGAAATCCGTCAAGAAAACGCAAAACGGGACCCCTTTTTTGGCCGTTGGTTTTCACTCATGAACAGGTAAGCTCAGAAAGCGGACGTATGAACGAGTTCATCGCAACGCGTTTGGTGGCACATGCCAAACCACGCTCAATCGAGTTGCTCCAGTTGTGCCGCTGCTGGCAACGCAGCTCGTCCAAATCACCAACTAAACTAGTGGGCGGATCGCTTTTGGGGGCGGAGTGCTTTCGAAGTCCTGCTCAGCAACCAGCGACCTTTCGTCGTGAAAGCGCTACACCTCGCTTCCCTGGCAGCCAAGTAACTGCTTCGTGTGGTGCATATGCTTCCCCGATGCGCTCCCTCTTTATCGTAATCGCTGCCTTTAACCCGGTGACAGTCCCAATTCCCTTCTTGTGAAATTAACTGGGAATATGTGAACTTGAAGCAGCAAGTTTCAGATCTCAGGACACAATTTTATGTAGCAATCTCTACCCTGCTGCCTCCATCCATGACCCCAAAAATCAGAAAAAAAACAACCCCTCTTCTTACTGGGCAAATACTTACAATACAACCGTCGGGGAATATTTTAACGTGGTCCGCACTGCTAGAAACCCAAACTCTCAAGCAACTCCTTTTGAATCTGACTATTTGTTTTAACCAATAATAGGATCTAAAAAGGATTACAACGGATGAAGCATTACCACTAGTGAAGGGGGCCGGTGAAGTGTGATCGTATTATGTGCTTGTAGGTTGTCACAAAGCTTGCTTATAATACCCTTCTACTCTTCATGGATCATCTTGGTCATCAGATTTGCTGAATTTGATTTCACAGAGACTGGAGTCGCTAGCGGGTGATCGTGGGAAAACCATTATTTGCACAATCAAGCAGCCTTCGTCTGAGGTCTTCAGATTGTTCGACAAGGTGAGCTGCATAATCTGGCAATGGTCCCAAAATAAGATTTCCCTTCTTTCAGGTGGTATTTCTCGCCCAAGGCCGAGTAGCCTTCCATGGTGCTCCAGATGAGGCGATTACGTTTTTCGCAAAATGTGGTTTCATGCTTCCGGATCACACAAATCCAGCCGACCACTTCACAGACGTAGCGTTATTCACAAATCATCATATAATGCCTAAAACCAAACTGTGATGTCATTTCTTGGAAAAGAGAAGTAGAGCACCTCATCGCAAATCCTATTCGCTCTTTCTTTGCACTCTTCCTCTTTGTCGGGCCAGATAGCCAGAACCTGCAATTTCCCTATGACAACGGAGATCGACAATCTCTCCGATCCATAACATTCGGGGTGAAACTCCAGTTCGGGGGGGCCACTCCATTGCTATCTTATCCGTAGTACTAGAGAGCAGTTCTTTGGGCTATCGAACACTACGGATAAGATAATAAGTGAACGACTCATTTCGAGCGTACTTTTGATAAGGACCGGTGGATGTCCTACATTCCACACTACCTGCCCACATCCCATCCACTTTTCTGCACAGGTGATCCACCCTGGAGCTCCTGCACCCTTAGCCCTTTGCGGAGGTGTCCTTTCTCCTGGTCCAGGACCGTTCCCTTGGGTCATGGCAGGCGAAAATGTGAAAACGTTTCAGGGTTTCTCACACATTACACCAATATTTATCAGAAGTCTACTTTAAATGAGTCGATTACGTGTCGTGAGCCCTCTAATCCTTATCTTGAGTATTGGAGAAAAAATGGAGTGGCCCCCCCCCCGAACTGGAGTTTCACCCTTCAACAAACTTTCATTTTAGTTCTTTGAAAATTCGATACTAGTTTTATTACTGAACTGTGAATGCCCAAAGCTGACTACCCAGTATAGTGGCAGTTCCGACAAATCAGTACAAAATCCATTACTTCTGACCAATCATATTAGACTATATGGCACACGCACGTAAAAAGGCGTCCACGAAGTGTTTGAGAGACGAATGTCAGAGGGCCTAATGAAGTTATTATCAATCTTAGTTGGAAGCTAGCAACTACATTCTCATATTCTGAATGTCAGAGGATTTTCCACACAATGTCCGATATTCAGGAATCAGGCATTTCTTTTTCTCGTGATGATGATTTGACCGCAGGAGACAGAAAGCGGATGAGTTTTACCATCCCAT